TAAATCTATGAAACTATGAAACTATCACTATATCTGGGGTAAGGAAAGACCTGTGCAGGTTTCTTCCTCTGTAGCAGGGGGCATGGCCCTGTACCTGGGACCTCCTGAGTATATACTGACAACATTTTATTGAAGCAGGACATTAGCTGCCATGGTTCTTCTGCTTTACCTATGGCAGATGAGGGTGTTAGGCCTATGTTGTGTCAGGGTTGACAGTAGTCTTAGATAGTTCAGACTACGGTTGCATGGGATGGTTTGGATAAGGATGATCCTGCCTCAGGCACGGGGTTGGATGAGATGACCTCTGGAGGTCCCTTCTAGCCCTACTTCTCAATGACTCATCACTGGTGATGTGAGATATGCCCACAAAATCCTGAGATCAAATTGCCATGGCTCAGCAAAGAAAGAACATACATTTTGACGGAGAAGCGAGAAAAATGAAGGGACCGTCTTCAGAGCAGCCTGCTCAGCCCAGCCCCTGAGGGCCCTTGTTTCCCTCCTGTCTAACGGAAATGATCACAGAATCATAGAAAATTTACCTGCCGCAGGTAAAGCAGAGGAACCACGGCAGCCAATGTCCTGCTTCTATAAAATGTTATCCATGTATGCTCAAGAGGCTGAGGGCCACAACCCTGGCTGCAGAAGAAGGCATAAAACCCCACAGTTCATACCAATCTGACCATGGGGAAAATTCCTTCTTGATTCCAAATGTGGCCATCACAGAATCAGAAAAAAATAGGGTTGGAAGGGAATCAGGTCATCTAATGCAAGCCCCTGCTCCAAGCAGGACCAGCCCCAACTAGATCACCCAGCCGAAGCTTTGCCTAGCTGGGTCTTAAAAGGGTGTGTATAGACATGCTCCAGGAGTGGGGAGGAGGGGTGTTGCTTTATTTAGAGTGGCTCCTGAGAGCCACTCTAATTAAAGCACCCAGAGTGTCACATGCATCAGCATCCCCGTGCTGAAAAATGGCAGTGGGGACACTTTAACTATGGTCAAACAAGCTTTAGTTAAAGCGCCCCCACTGCCGTTTTCTCAGCATGGGGACGCTGATTCACATGATGCTGGAGCCTGCCAGGGTGCGATAATTACCATGCTCCAGTAGATTCAACTAATATAATCAGCTCTGTGCTGTAATTACAGCCCATTGGAGCAGCCTCCCTGAATGTGTATAGGAGCCCAAAGCTCCCCAAGGATGCAGGGTCCACCACCTCTCCGGGTAACCTGTCCCAGTGCTTTACCACCCTCCTCCAAAGTTTTCCTGATATCCAACCTACCCCTCCCTTGCTGCAACTTGTGATGTCTTGGTCTGTCCTCCAGCACTGTCGAGACCAGTCCACCACATACCCCTGCCTAGGCTTTCACGAGGCTTCTCTCAAGGAAAATGCCCAGGGGATGGCTTCCAGCTCTCTCAGGCCAGCACAGCCCAGGGTGACCAGGTATGACTTCCCACCCTCACCTTTCACCCAAGCTGAGCCCAGAACTTTTTTTTGTTAAATGAAATTTTTTTGTGTTCCACACCAAATCAGCCAAATCAAGTGTCCATGAGTCGGTCCAGAACCATAAGCGACCCTACAACTGGCAAACATCCTCTACCCCAGCAGGGGCTTCAGATGTTTCCAGCATCTTTTGGCAGGCATCCTACGTGCAGGTCCAAGCCCAGAGGCTTGGGGTTTGCACGTGCCTAAGTTTCACTTGCCCTTAGCCATTTGGCCATATGAGCAAACTAGGGAGGAGCCTCCCATTTCCATAATGTGGGCTTAAAGCCCCAGCACCTTAGTGGGTACTAAACCATGCCAGAAGAGCAGTTATCCCATGGACGCCTAAGAAAAATTGCCTTCCTGGACCCAGATACATGGTGTTTCCCCTGCCAGGTAAGTCACTAACCCCAGAACACCTCACTGCACTTCAAGGTGGAGAGAAAAGACTGATTTAAATGTGTCAAGGGCTGTGGGAGCCATCCCAGGGGATGGGGAAGCATCCCATAGGCTGAGGGAGCCACCACAAGGGCTGGGGGAGCCACCGCAAGGGCTGCAAGAGCTGTCCCTGGGACTGCAGGAAGATCCCAGGGGCTGCGGGAACATCCCAAGGGCTGCAGAAGCTGTCCCAAGGGCTGGGGGAGCATCCCAAGGGTTGGGGGAGCCCCAAAGGTTGGGGGGGCATCCCAAAGACTGGGGGAGTCGCTTCAAGGGCTGCTGGAGCTGTCCCATGGGCTAGGGGAGCGTCCCAGGGGCTGGAGGAGCTGCCCAAAGGCTGGAGGAGTGTCCTAAGGGCTGCTGGAGCTGTCCCAAGGGCGGAGGCAGCCCGGTGCCCCCAAGAGCCCCGAGCAGGGCTCGCCCGCAGCTGCTGTTACCGAGGCGCCTTCCTGAAGCGCCCGCCCGGGCCCCCGGACACAGCCCCGTTCCAAGCCGGCCCCAAGTGACCAATCCGCTCCGCAGCCGGCCGCAGGTGGCCAATCGCGGCGCGGGCTCCTCACGCCATGCAAATGCGGAGCTGCGGGGCTCCGAGGGCCTCGGCACCCGCCAGCTCGCAGCTCCCCGGCCCCGGCAGGTCGGGGAGCGCCCCCGCGCAGCTGACGGGCAGCCGGAGGCGGGGCCCCGCGTGGAAGCGCAAAGCCGCTCG